CGCATGGACTTAACTTGCAGTTATATTGCCGGCCATGAGCATGTAGTAGCTATCAAAGCGAACTCTTCTTATAGTAATTTCTCAATACTTATCCAGCAGTAACACACTTACTTGTTTTTTACTCAAAGGTTTCTTATAAATGCCCAAAAAATGCCAACTTCGTTACCACTTTACCCAAAGAGATGTTAATGTAAAGTAGAAAGTATGTGACAGAGCAGTGTTGCAACTCTATTAGACATAGCTATCGCATCTGACTATAGCAATCAAATTTGTTGTAACGATCAAATCACTGCTTACCAGGTTCCGAAAGCACGACATTGGCGATTGACTTTAAACAATTATTCGTATTTGAGTGTTAGATGGTCAACGATGACATTGGTACTTTCCTCGCAGAAACATTGCAATCAATCTTAGCTCACTATTTATACGCCATGACAAACACGTAAGGCTTATTTTAGTTTTGACGATGGTACAAAGTGAGGCCGCACTTCACAATTAAATAATATTAATTTCAAGAATGAAAGTCTACGTACCTAGAAGTGTGACACCCATAATATGCTAACAAAGATACGTACTTTCTGCATATGATAATTAATTTTAATCATAGCACAACCAGCGGGGAAATGATCTTGGGATAATGATTAGAGAGATGTCACCAAAACTATACTTTGATTAAAACACGAAGTCCTTTCAAGGTCACGGGCAGAAAAAAAGAAGGGAACACTGTAATCCACTCGGGAGCTTCAACTAATCCGAGTTTACAGCGGGAAGGGATGCTTGACAGTAATACTAAAAAGAATAGGGAGGGGCCCCACTGTCAATAAGAATAACAAATATCCCTGCTATGTCAAAGAGGAATAAATAAAATGACAAATTTCAAATACATGCGATTGGCGTCGTAGTACGTTTGGGGACAGATGGATTACATAAACAGGCGTGCGCACTTTGAACCAATAGCCCTAAAAAGTTGCCCTAGGCCCCGTTGCCCTACCAATAGACCTACTAAGTAAAACATTTCATTTTCTTAAGTATGATCAAACCGCATTTCCCCCTTTTAAAGACGACAATTTGGGGAAGATCTTCAAGCCAACTGGCCCCCTGTAAATGGTTCAACACATTAATGTTATAACTTCATTCTCCTTGTAGAATACTGTATTAATTTCCTAGTAATATAGATCATTTGCAATTTAGAAAGTTTAATAGAAAAAGCGGGCCCAAAAACGTAGTTGACACCCTTTTGTTTTAGGCAGCGCACGGCTACCCACATTAAGATACATATGACAAGCCAAATGAAAACTTTTTCAATAGTTTTTTATTGATAACGAGAAGAGACAATGTAGCCCTTATCTCCAGGTGCATCATCAATATTTGGCTCTGCAGTAAATAAAATGAAAAAGTGGGAGTGCACGGCATACAGAAACGTGTCCTGTTCTTAGTGTTGTTACTCAGCACCTACTTACATTTGTTTTAAAAAAAATGCATGTCATTATTTAAAAGGGTCTAAAATTGAAGGAAAAAATATCTGGCTATAATATTGGAGGTGCAGTATAGGTTCGAAAATAAATTAGAACTTTTGCAATTTTGAAAATTTCACAGATTTTTATGACAATAGGATCTCTAACTTAATTTGTAAATACTTTCTATTCTAGAGTGAAAAGAAAGAAAGAAAGATATGTAACCATTTTCCAGGAAAGAAATGAAAATGTCTCAGGATCTTCAAGTATAATATCCTCCGAAATTAAAATATCGTAATGGTCTCTGGAATTGCACAACTACTCTTGACGTATACACCGCGATTCAGCTCAAACGCTTATAATTTGATAGTTAGGTGACATACTACATCCGCCATCCATCCATCCATTCTTACATGTATACGTACGTAGGTAGAGGCAGACGGACAGAGAGAGAGAGAGACAAACAAGACATCCTCATTATCGGGTACAAAATTTCGGGCCTCCCCTACTGCACCCATCTTCAATATCTTTGGAACAGCATTCGACCTTCAGCTTGACGTGTGTGCACAATTACAGCACAAATTTACATTCAACCTGAATTTTACGACCGAAAATTGGAGTTCTCATTTTTGAAGGGATTCCAATTATATCCCTCTCTGTACTCTAGTATAGCCCCCCCCACACACACACACACGGGTAACAAAGTCTAACAAATACGAAAACGAAATGCACACCACTCGATGCCATTATGCAATTACTTGCACACGAGGTCACATGCAGTTCGCACGATGCGGCGCGGCGTGAAAAAACCAAGTGTGCAAAACAACGTTTTCTGTTTATCCGCATAATTTTGAGTGCATAAAATGAGTGTGCATTCCCTCCCAGGATTATGACAACCACAGCGCCACAGTTAACGTTTTCAATTTCAAATCAACAAAATTTTCTGACCGAGAGGATTTTAAGATTCAAATGCTGCGTTCCATGCATTACCCATGTAACTTGTCACACAATCTTTTTAATCACATACATCACGAATGAATTATACATTTTTGTTTTGTTTAAATTTTTGAATTCGCAGGTACGGGATAAATGAAGAGTATGCCAATATTTCGTTCACGTTAACGCAAGCAGAAAATATTAAAACCAAAATAAATTTGGTTTCTGATTGTAATATTGTTACAGACCAACTGTATGAAATTTGCATTGTTGGAATTCTGAAGCGGTATTGTTGACGTAATTTCATGCTATTTTGTTTAGACATTACATGACTAATTAAAAGATATTATCTCCGTCAACTCTAAGTTGACGGAGATGACTTCTTTTATTTCTTCATGAAATGTGCAATCCAACCTTTCACTCACGATTATAGAACTCAACCCACATAGTAGGCCTATGCATTTGTTGATTTTTTAAGCAAGTACTAACGTAAAATAAAGAATACACAATTAATTGACATCAGCATTAGATATTGAAAATACTTCATTAGGTTATTTTTTAAACAAACAATGGTTAAAACTTGCATGCTAGTACTGACAGTAACATGGGAGTTCAAACATTTGTTTACAAACGCATCGAAGAGCGGAGAGAACAAAGCAGTTGTTCTCTGCGAATTAGAAAAACTGAATTTCATTGTCGCTTGAAAAAAGTAACTACAAATGAACAATGTCTAAACAAAATAGCTTGCCGGTAACTTTTTCATTACGAAAGTAGCAACATACGCCGATGTAAGTGTTGGTTACTCACTAAAAATGTGAATCGTTTACCTTCGTAAATTGTTGACCAGTTGAAGATGAACCATTACCCAAGGGAAGTTAAATGAAGAACGTCTCAATATTCAATCCAGTCCACGAACAGCAAGATGCAACACGAGGTGACACTACATCCCCTGATTTCACAAGTAAACGCAGATAAATACACAACGAATATTCAGGTAATCACATTCTCCTCCAAACTGTACAAAGAACAAAACTGAAGTCGGTCTTCATCAGAATGAAGGGGGAAACCTGGAACTGTCACCTTCCCCACAGAAGACCATCAACAAACGCTCCCACTTCAGATAAGAGGCAAACAACTCAATGAAAAACCGTCATGTCCACATTTCTTTTATACTCATTATTTTTAACTAATATCCTACAGGTTGAGAACTTGTATCAGTGCACAGAAGGATAAAAATATATAAAATACTTCAAATCTTCCAGTTCATTTCAACAAGACTCTAACTCGTCGACCACACCACATACACCCTCAACGACATACACAAAGCAACTGCAGCTTCACGATGTATCCACCAAACACGAAGCAATGGGTAGCGCTAGTGTCTTCGACACAACAGGACAGCGCTAGTGAACAACTTTGCTGGAGAATAACGTGATGCTCTCTAATGGTGGTTTCGCGAACTCGTTTCGATAACTCCAGCCATAAACCCCCATGCAATATACATAATATACTCTCTGCCCCCATGCAGCACTAGTCAGGCCCATCGATAATCTAAATATACAATCCGTTCTATTCATGATGGAAATATGTCTGCATCACATATTCTATTTTTCCACAACTAGCCATAGTTGTTAGAAATTAACAAATTTTCATCCGGGCCAAGGTATTCTAAACATCATGTTCTGTCCAGGACGCGACTCTATTAATGAATTGGATAGTGAACAATTAAAGCGTCGTGACACGTGCGAGTCCAACCAATTATTGGGGGTGTAATAGATTTTTGTAAAATAATAAACATAATATTTGTTATTATATTGTATATTATTAATGTACTGTAGATATACTATACAATATTCTCTAAGTAATTACATAATTCGAACAAAAGTAAGTATTTAAATCAATTTTGTCAAATAAAGGTAAGTAAAAGCCCAAGGTCTTTTGGAAGGGGCATCCCCCCCACTAGATCCACGAGCGTGACACTGATAAGGGGAATTTAAAAGGTTTTGACTTCGCGAGAATTAAAGAAATTCTGAATGCAAAAGCTACTACTATATAAATGCTGTGTATTGAACTTATACCCTTAAATCAAAATTGCCCATCAACAATATAATTTGAATTAGTGTAAGTTCTTGAAAACCCATTGAGCGTGGTAGACAATGTATTTAATATTTCAAAAATATAATCACAATTTTCTGAAAATTGATAAATGTAATCATATTTACTAATTTTTTCAAATTAAAACCCTACCTCATTTTCCTTATTTTATATTGCTTCCTTTTCTTTCCGCCGGTAGCATACACATTTCTGTTACAGCCAAGAAACCCTAGTCAACAAATATTCAATTTCTGATGCATCTTTTTTGCAAAGGTAGGAATAAGCCTGTCTCTTGTAAATTTGCATGCAACCTCTGATGCATCTTCCTTACAATAAAAAATTCAGGAAAACAATCTTGAAAACACTGATCCGACTTTGTACCTGTCTGACTATACAATTCATGAACACAAAACATCTCTGAAGCAGCATTTATGAACTCACGATGAAAAGCGGTAATTTTTTTAAAAATAGACTTTAATAAAAATATAAATTAAATACATTTTTCAAATAAATTTTTATTGCAAATACTACTATGTACATATTTTTAGCATACAATTATACAGAACCAATTGTGTATACTAATACTGAAGTTAAAAATGTTGTGCAAGACGTAACACCTTACTGATAATTACTTTTCACAAAACTCAACTCCTCAATTTCTATTAACTTGCAACTCTTTGTACAGAGGGCCAAATCAATTACAGAACTTCGAAGTATAATAACTCAATCACTCCCAGTCACACAAGCAAATATTTCTTAACAAATTACATTGCACCTAATTTCAATTTCAATATTTTGGAATGATCACTCCACTTCTGCCATTAAATGTTTAAAATGTTTCAAACAAAGAAAAGGGACAAGAAGGATCATTGACCATACAATGAAATACCTATGACTAAAATAGTTAATATTATAATGAAAATATACAAAGTAGGGACAACCCTGAATATCTATGATAGATTTACGAAAGCTTCTACTATTATTCAATTATTGGCTTTCAATGTAGCAATAAATGTTTAATTAGCATATTCACATGTCTGTCATTAAGAGTTTCATTATGGCTCAAACACTTCAAAGAAATTATTACGACACTAATTGCACATTAACTACAACAATGCACTACTTTTTGAAGACAAATGAACGGAAGAAAGAAATTGTTATAAACAAACCGCATTACTATCATAACTCAAACACTCATGTAAAATGTTCACAGAAATAAAATAAAAAATAAATTACTTTGTTATCATTGAATGTTGTTTGAAAGATAGGTGTTTGATATACAACACTAATAAATGCTTCTCAGTATATTTTTCAGATTATTTTTATATTTCAATCAAATATAAAATTACATAACTATGTCACTCATTATTTGGAAATAATTAAACTCATTGTCTCAAAGATTATGATAATGAAAATATACTGAAATGTATATATAGACAATCATAATACTATTAAACAAACAATATGATAATTGTTTTTGCACAAGGAGAAAGCCAAAACTGTTTCATTACAACTATTTAAAAATTAAAACTAACTTTTAAAGTAATTAAAAATACACCCAATTACAAGTTCCCAAAACAAGACTAAATTAAATATCCCTAAAATGAAAACGGTTGTTATTTTCAATTAATCACACATTTCAAATAATCATTCAATTAATCACACATTCCATTTGAAAATACAGAAATTGAACTTACATTTTTATGGTTGGAAACTTCCTCTGACTTAGAAATTTCATGCATATTATGGATTCTCTTATTGATAAAACAAAACAACTGAGCAAATATTTCCATGATTAATCAAGGTATTTCACTGTTGGTCATTGATAGCTTTAAGTTTAACAAAAAGTATGTATAAGCATTTGAAAAAAAGGTTTCAAGCATTGAAAAAAGGTTACATTAAGTAACAGAAAGGAGAGAATGAAATAGAATTTATTCTTATGTGAATAAACCTTTATAGAAAGAGTTTTCAACTTATGAGGTAAAAAGACAATTTACACTAATATTTTGAAGCAAACAACAAGAGGAAAGTAAAGGTTTACACTTAATTACTCCTTTGGAAAAGCACAAAGAGCTTGACCACCGAAGAAAAAATAAGTTCTCTTTCTTTACTTCTGGAAATGAAAATATTTTAGAAGAGATCCCATGATTGCACTGAGTATTTACAGAAGTTACACTATGTAATAAAGTGACTGTTACACTTCCGCAAATATGTTCAGATCAGGGTCTGATCAGGATCTTTTATTTAATGGCCCTTTGAGATGACTGGAAATATAAAAACGTGAAGATTTTACCCCTTGTCTTATACTCAATTTCCTTAAAAAGTTTTCAATTAGTGCCCAATAACAAAGAACTACAGTTAAATTAATTGTAGATTTAAGCAGGAGATGCTGAAATTAACAGCAAAGGCAGTGTTACTAATAGAGCTCATACAAAGTTGAGATTTCAGTTTTCAAAATTCACAAATTCAAAATGATTACTGAACAGAAACCAAGCTTTTCAACGTGTTCCAATGATGGTTCCATATAACTATCAATATGCTCTTTGCTACTCACTATGTCAGTAAGCAATAGCTTCCAACATCACATCTTGTATCATCTAAGCTTTGTTATTTGGTGCCACAACCTAGAATTGGTCTTCAAAATATGGTTGGAGACGAAGACTTTTAAAATTTCGATGTTTTTCTGCCCAGTATATTTTTATGCTGCATTTAGTTTGGAATATGCATCCAGATATTGAAAAATGGCAGATGATGATAAAGGGGAATAATAAACACGTGATGAATACACTCTTAGGGCATCAGTGCATGAACAATAAATAATTATTTTAAGTGAAGAAACAGAAATTTGGGTGGACTAATTCTATCAAATTATTGCCGTTGCAAATGCCAGGTTAAATTAGTAGGCAAAATTTCTAAGCAAGATAGAAAGTTTGGTATGAAACTCAAAAAATGTTATACTCTTTCCAGCTTTTTTGATGGCTTAAAGAAATTGGTCATGATGCCACAGGGACAATGCATAGGGCATAAAGCACCTCTTTTGATGTCTGATAAATTGAAAAAATGCTACAAGGAAGTTATTACCAAGTAATTGATACAAATTCCAGTATCACTCTTGAAAGATACCATATAATTATATCGTTACAATTGCCTCAACATTTGGCAGAGTACAACCAATGAGTCAACCAAACAAATACAGTGCAGTGAAGAAGAAAAAATTATGATCCGACTATCAGCCTGTATCCGAACAGACAATTTGCATATGGATGGGGTTAATCATATCAAGATGTGTCATTTCTATCTCGATTAAGTTGGAAAATGTGTAAAATATTTTGTGTTGTATTACATACGCAGTATAGTTTACAATAAAAGTGTCTTGAATGAACAAGAAATGAGCCGTGGACGTGACTTATAAAATGATTGCTGTAAACAAAATAAAGAAAGAAACATAGATGCAACTTCAAGAGAGATAAAATAGTGAGACAACATTTTATTGAAATTAGTATGTATTAAGTGATCTCAGGGTAAAAAAAATTCTAAAAGTCAAATTACTCATGTAATTTATCATAAATAGTGTATTTAGGGATGCTACATACAAAGCCAATTAAAATGCAAAGATGGGATGACAAGTAAAAATATAAGAAGGGGATGACAAACACATTTTGGGAATTATCTGCACACAGGAGGAGATGGTTGAAGGTGAATGTTGGTGGAAGAATGCTGGTGAAAGATTGTCATGTCAGGGAGTAGATGCATGAATTGAGATTTTTTTTTTTTAAGTATGAAAAGTATTTGTGTGATCCAAGTATATGAAACCCAGTTTGATCAGTTATGAAAGCCACACAAACAGAGTAGTTGTTTATAAGTGAGATTAGAAATTTTAGAATAGGATTTGGAAAATTGGACACAGAACAGAGAGATTGCAAAATTGTGGTATAGGAGCTATGCTCATTGACATGGATGGGGATAGAGAGGGAATGGAATGACACAGGTCGTTGTTCACGAGGGCAGACCAAAACATATATTTTTAAATCATAGGAAGATTAAGTTATGAATGTAACTATAAGTTTAGCATAGATTACAGATCAAAGGAAAAAATAGAAATGAGTATAAAAGTATTGCTGTTCATGGTATAACAAAAGAATGAATGTTAATGTCATGTGAAGTAAGAACGAGAATAATTTGTATTTTAAAAATGGTATTGTTTTGTTGGGTTTTTCTTTACATTGTTAGCACAGAGCTGACGTTTAGGTCTATTGTAAACCCGATTGTTATAATAATTTCAAGAGCAAGGAAGCTCTCATATTATAAATTGTAACAATATGATTAAATAATTATGAAATTTGGGAAAAGGTCAATGTTATTATTTTAGAAAAATACAAAGTAGAATATTTCCAATAATTTACATGAAATTCACATTCTGAGTTCCCATAGGGCAGGCTTTTATCACCTCTTCTCTCATAAATTTTCTCAAGTCAAGTAAGAGTATTTAAATTTACAATATTAATAATTTTTTATATAGTTCAGAAGAAGGGAAAGTGTAGGACAGATCTCAGTAAAGATCAAAACAATGCTGTCTATAGAATACATATTCAAAACAAAACATGGTATTGAGCTCTGTTAAACTTCGCACTGAACATTACAGTTGATAATTCTTGGCAAGTATATAGAATCAAATATAAAGAAAAAAAAAATTAAATGGATTTACTCAGTTTTACATGGTAGATAGTGCAGACATAACTTGGCAAATAAACTCTGAAATTCATCCTCAACAAGCAAGATATCATGCAAGACAATGCCAATCAAGGCTTGTTTGGTTGGGTTAGACCACCACTGGTGAAAAATGATACACAGCTATGGTGAATTAATTGTCATAAAAATAGTTTCTAGTTCATAACTTTCATATATCACTGTTGACTATTTATTTCTCAGTTCTAAAAAATTAAAAAGTTAATTTTGACAATTGTAATAGCATTTTCATTTCTTTTATAAAAAAAATACCCCATCTGTGTGTGCACACGTGATCATTATCATGAATAGCAGGATCGTAGGTCTGGTGCCTTTTACTGTGAAGTAGATCTAGTGATTATTCCTCCAAATGGTCCTGAGCCTTCCATCTTTTGTTGGGTCTTCCTATATTTCTTCACCCTATGGGTTAACAATTTAAAACTGCTTTAGGAAATCTTTCTGCTTGCATTCTTCACACACGTGAAAGCCATCTCCTCTTGTTCTCTTTAATGTTATCCATAGTATTTTTTGCTTCGAGTTGTTTTTTTCCGATTTCAGTGTTTCTTTGCTGATCTAGACATGTCGTTCCTACCAGGTGCCAAAAAAGTCATTTGTGTGGCTTCTAATCTCTGATAGTCTCTGTTTGAGGGTCCATATTTCTGATTCATACATTAACATTGGCTTAGATGCTATATTAGGTATTCTTAGTTTTGTCTAACTCTTTTACCCCATTACATTTTTGAATTTTTCTTCCTTGATCTTCTGAATTTTGTGCAAATATGTTGCCCTAGATACATTAATTCTGCTTACACTTGATAAATGGGAAAACATGGTAACAGGGAAATTGTTAGCAAGATTCTATTGTATGTATCATGATACTGTGCGCAAATAATTGGAACAATGTTAGAAAACACCTTTTTAATAAGAATGCTCAATATAATAACAGACTGTTATATTTTCAGGTAATAAGCTTATTGCTGTGCAATAAATAAGGGTTCAATCAATTTCCATGAATAATGTGAGACTTGATGCTCAGTCTTCTTCTAAAATCTCACCATTCACAAAAATCTCAATAACACACACTCATATTTTTTAAACAATTCTGAAATGAAAATAGAAAATAGATGAGGAATTCTACACATTTCAGGCACCACTTTAATACAACACAATACTAAAATGAAACGGCAAGCCATCAGCGTGTTAAAAGCATAACAGTGTGCAATGGCAAACATCTCAGCATACTCAAACCCTCCTGTTCTCTAATGATTTTTATAGTAGAAAATTTATGTAAGTAGTTATCAACTTTCAATAATTAACCTACATTTTTTTAAGGTAGGTACTACCTTCTTGAAGACATAATAAACACAATTTTTGTTAGCACAGGACTCACAAACTTAGCGAAGACAAAAACAATACAAAATGTTCAATTTAATATGTATATTCAAAGAGTCACATCTGTGTATTACCAGTTAGATTCCAAGCCACTTTGCCAAATTTCACACTGATTGCTCAATTATAATGAACAAAATAATTCAAGAGAAAGCGAGATTAAGTATGTGAACCGCATAATTTGAAAATAGCATATAGGCAGTCCGTGGTACAAATGGATTTACAAAATAGTTTTAAAATCACACTTTAAAACAAAAAAATACCAAGACACCTCCTGTCAAGTATTACACATTTCTCACAATTAGCTTAACATTAGTTTAACAAGCACAATTCTGCACGTCTTCATGAGTCCCATCTCTTCCATTCCATTCCATCAGGAGCTTTTATTTCTACTCGATCTCTGGACACTTCATTCCAATTAGTACTCAAAACAGTACCCCCAGACTCTTGCTGCAAATTGAAAGCCAAATCAATACATGTATCCAAAGACACACACAACTGACTAAATAGCTTGTGTTATTGAATTAAATAGAATTCATGAAATACTTAATTAGAAGCTACATTTAAATATGAAAAACAGCACACAAAAGAAATATCATTATGCTAGATAAATTACATCCCACTGCTTAAATAGACAATTACTTTTTACTCTCATGCACTCTGAATACGCAGTATTGAGGAATGAATTGCAATGCTGCGAGAAAAACAGCAAGTTCTCAACGGAAAAACCTATTACTGGACCCTGGTAACTAAAAAGGGGATAACTTTTGTATTTCTACATGGTAAATTACTTCCTCTAACATGCTGTGTAGTCACAATCCACATTTCATGGGAAATATTATTTGATGTCCGTCTGTAGTCAATGCTTGCACCTAAACAGATCAGACTATTTTCTCCAAACCTGATAATGCCCAATCGAATGAGGCCCTGCGAGTTTGAAACAGACATTTTGCTTTTTGGAGATACTTCACACAAGTGTCAACATTTCTGTAATATTGCAAAAGGACAATAATATAAAAAAGGTAATGTTTTTAAAAAGTTTAGTAGCTTAGCGGAACTGCAAATTTTTGAATTTGCACCCTCCAATTATCCCACACTTTTATTACTACAATCAGTAAGGAAATATCATGCTGCAATATAACAATAATTACACTAAGACAGAGCAGTTTAAAATTCTGAGAATAGCTTCTCATTGTTGGACAATGTTTCTGAGTGTAAAAAATGGAGATTTGGATTGTCAAACTAGTGTTGATGTATTAGCTTCAAATAAATAAAGTTTCCATGCCTAATGTACTATGGTTCGCAATTAGTTGTGTAAGTGATGGCTGAGATGGTATAATATGGACAGAAATTGTGTTATTATAAAATTATGTAACTGTTACTGATGGAAGAACGTATGAGCTTAAGCACCACAAGAAGTTTATTTTACTAGCTGGATAATAGAAAAAACAAAAATTGTGATTTACTTTATTTCAATTCTTTACCATAGGATAACAAATATAGTTAGATTGTAGTTAACAAACCAGTTCCCTCAACATTTTTCAAGATCATAATTTTGACTTCTGGAGCAGAATTGTAAAAGCATATTCTATTTCACCAACTCGCGCCCTCTCAAAAGGATCATCCTTAGATTATGTGCCTCATACATGACCGTTAAGTGTCTTGAAAAAAAATTCAGAAACAGGAAAATTGCTTCAGCTTATTATCTGATGGTCACCTCCCCCTGTGATTACCTAACAAGCCAGCTTAACTGGATCTTGTTCATTAGCAATGGTATACAATTGCCAAATTATTGCAAGTCCTGAGTTTCCCAAACATGGGTTACAATGTTAAATGTACAAAGGTCTTTTACCATCACTAAAAAGAGAATAATTTTTTCCCCCCCAATGTGCATACTGGAATAACTGCATTTATAACACATGCAACGTATAAAAAAAAAGTGTATTTTGTTTTTATTTTAACATTTATCAACTAGGCAAAGATGGTGTTGCTGGCACTTTAAACTGATTAAAAAATAATTTCAAATGTTAAAAATATCTACTTTGTAAGTTATAAATAAAAGTATATTTTAATCATATTTCCTTTTTTTACCCTTGGATGTAGTATATAAAAATTATCTAGTAAGATTTAAAATTGAATGGGTAATAAAAAATACAAAAAATGTGATACATAACTCTTCTTGTTGGATGTTCTTTGATGCTATGACAACAAGCCATCCCAGAAACAGTGTCAAAGAACCTAATCTGAATGCTCCCAGGAGTAGTTCTGAAGAGCACAGATTCTTTCAGTGTATTATCAAGAGGTTATTAAAGAAAATTTGCCAGCGCCTATTCTACAACTAACTGTTCCATCCTTAAGTAAATTTACATTAAAATAAAATTTTATAGCCGAAATTATCCTACAAAATCCTATCACAATAGCAATATTGAATAAGCCTCACATACCAAAATTATTCTGAACACAATAATCTGCTCACTTGGCACTCACAACCACTGCTAGATTGTGGTACACAGAATTCTGCTAAAAATGCAGAATCACATGTTTTTGAAAAATATTCATAGAATATTCTGGATGGATTGAAAAACAAATCAGCAGTTCACTACCAGACCAATATGCATCGAATGACACCTTTGACATGACTGGTATATGGGGTGGGGCCCAGGAACGGATCTGTGGGGAGGTAAATTTCCCACACTAAAATTTTTCAGTCACTTTTAATTTTAACTTATTATGAAACTTTCAAGCAAAAATGTTTTCCGATAATTTATTTTTAACAATTATTATTTAAAACAAAAAAAATAGCAACACGAGCTGAGTGTAACCTAAACAAAGTGTTTACAAAATCTGTAATATGACACTCCTCCAAAATATTTTGAATTTACCCTCCCAAAAATTTGTCTCCCGATCCACCCTTGATGGGGCCTAACCATCAGTGACAAGCAGACACAAATTATTCAAATACAATGCACTTACAAATGATTTATTCATAGCCCGCTTTACTTCATCTGATCCTTGGGAGTATATTTTCTGAAATAAAGCATTAAGGGCTGCCTCTCCTTCAGGCTTCTCATCAGCTTCTTCTTTAGCTATATCACCAACAACACGATCCCAATCTTTTGCTTTCAAAGCTGAACTAGGGTATTTTGGAGGGCCACTTCCAGTGAGAATAGCTGAAAGAAGAAAATACAGGTAACAACAAGGATTTCAAAGTAATAACAAAAAGTTAAAAACTACCACAACCATTTTGATAATTCATGACTTCAATTCACAACAAGCATGGTAGTAAGAATAGAATTTTGACTAAGTTGAACAATACACTGATCCTTCTGTTAGGGACTATCAATGATTCACGAACAAAAAGCTACTAAGACAAGTTTCTTGCACCATGATTGCCATTCAAAAAACGAATTCTTAAATGTACAACAAATCTAGATCCGAATGCATTCAAGGATTCCTAAATTACTTGATCCTAAAAAATATTGCTTACAGTAAATCTCGTTAACATGAATTCCAAGAGACCAAAATATATCGAGTCTCCTGTTATCATAACTCCATTTCTCATGTACATCCACATTACTATGTTTCCTTGTCAGGTCTAACATTTTATTTGAGTTACGGTAAAATTCGTGATAAGCAACATGATAACAAGGATTCACAGCAAAACAAAATCGCAACAAAATCGAACAAATGCTTTTGAAAGAAGAAATATTCTTTAAAAAAGTATCTTTCAATATCAAAAATTCTGCATTCACCAACTCAAATTTTAAGATTAATTGTCAGACTGGTAAACCAGACTTTTGACATTCATGCCAATAGCTGTATGTGGGTATAGTATATTTATTACAGCATATCTCAAAACTTCCAAAATGAAATATTAATTAACTTGGTGAAAGGTCTGCTAGTCAAAGGAGGTTTACTTCACTTTTGTTTTGATATCTAAAAGGGACTATTCCACTCAATAAATTAAAATCAATAGTGTTTAACTATACATATAAAATACCCCAATCAGGGTGGTGTATCACAAAAAAATGTATTGCCTATCCAATTTTTCTTACCACTACTTCCTACTGGCCAATAATATGCTATGACTCCTCTTTCTTCTGTTGCAGTATGTATTGATTCCTTAATGACTTAAAATTAACCACATCTGTACTATATCATAATTTCTTTGATTTTCATTTGGTTTCAGTTATTTTCAATATTTGGTGCATTTTGCAACTCTTTTGGATGTAATTTCATTCATGGAATAGTACTATTAAATATCACTCGTGCTTTAGAAATTTTCAGATAAATCCTCAACTTGCTTTGTGAGTTGAGGATTTATCAACAATTTCCAAAGCACCCATGGTATTGCCTATGATAATTCATTAGTGGGCATGTACAGGGCATGTATAGGTCATGTATAGGTCATGTTCTATAAGGAGGAGATATAGACACGAAAGAAAACCATTTTGAAAACACAATTCAAAAGAATTTTCTAAAGTCCTATATATAATGTAGGCATTTTCAATCACTCTTGAGTAATTATAGCACTACAAATACTGACTATTAATTCACAATTTTAAAAAATGACAAGAACTTTGCAGATACAAATATTGTTTCTTTCATAAGCATTTATAACTTTCAAATTAAAATAGAGAATATTAGCCACAACCTCTAAAAGATGTTACTAAATCGATCTTCACAAAATAAGTTCTGGCAGACAGAAAGGAGATACCTACTAAACCACCCAGTCCTTCACAAACAAACGTTTTTCATAAAAGTATTACTCTTAATAATGTTAAATATTACTCTTAACACTGATGCATAGACATCTCTACTGTTGTTCACTCTGTGGTAGTATCCTTTTATTACAACTTTCCTTTCCACCAGAAGAGAGGACCTTCAATCATTCATAAGACCTCACATTAAAGCATCCATGCCCTTTCCGGTTTCCTTATATTGATAAGTATTGATTGGTATTACAACTCAAAGGGATGTGTATTGATGGCATTGCAAAATAACAAATTAGAAGTAATGAGAGAACATGAAGAAATTGAAAGAAACATTAAGATAGAAAATCTGTGGACGAGTTTTGTTTCATAAGACAAATTTGAATGCTTTGAGATGATTGAAAAGAATTTGAATGTTTCCTCTCCTTATTCACAAGAAAGAGCACAAAATCACCAATAATAGGAAACTGAAATGATGGGAAAGAAATACGATAAAAAACAGATGAATGTAAACAAGAAAAATATAGACGCACTTAAGTCATATGATTTAAAAGCCAATACATGAACTAGTGGTAAAATAACTATCAATTTCAGAGAAAAATTTTATGATACTTTTTTCTTTTGAAGTTCAGAAACCGGCAAAATTGTATTTCTCCTAATAGTGCATCACAGACATCTTTATCTGTTTTTACGTTAATGTAGTATCAAGATAAGTGATCCTGCATTAAAGGAAAAATATCTGAAGCCTGGGTGGTCTGGGTGTTTTGTATAATTCTCCTAGATTGTAGTTTAATATGTGACAGAAGAACATTAAATTAACATATAAAAGATAGCCGAAACTTCATTTACATGACACTCTAAATAAGGTTTACAGAAACAAGAGTAACTTGTCAGCCAAAGTGCCTTGACTGAAAACAAGCACTACAAATAAAAAATTTGTTGACAATGTCTCCTTTACATTTTTGGTGATGTTAACTTGGATTTTCTCACACTACTGATCATCTTAGGTGTTCTAAACAGATGAGGGAAATGAATCTTCTTAATTTTTTTTGAAAAATGGCTCACTAAAACAATGTCTTAATGCAGGACAAAAGCATCAATCAAATAAATAATTTGGCATTGTTATATCACATAGAAGATCCTTGTAAATCTGAACGAGTTTCCAAGCCACTATATATAATATATAATAATTAAGAAGTATATCACGACAGTAATAACTAATAATATTCTTTCCCTAGATTCTATTAATCAAACATGTTCTCACCTTGAGGAATTGGTTGGGGAACCTCTACTTTCTTTGGATCGCCTTCCAAGGCTTGCCATCGGATATCATCACATTTCTTGAGCTTCACTTCAATCTACACAAATGTGAATAATTTTCATTATGACACAAATTATGTATTCGTAAGATATCGATAGAAAGACTATAATAAATTGTAAGAAATACATTAATAAATTTGACCCACCTTGGATGGTAAAATTTTATGAGTACATTGAGCAGGATTCACATTATGAGCCAAATCCAATTCCAGACTGTAATCGGATCCATTTGGTAACTTTGCGGACACACTCAACTAGAACAGAAGGAAAGTTCAATATTCTTTCACAAAAAATAAATTTTACAAATTCCCTAAAAATGATAAACAATTCAATTGTATGCAATTACAACTTTGTACAACAAAACTTCAAATAATGTTAGTTCAATTCTTTAATTACAGATACTCGTTGAAATTTATAAGTGGCTTTAATGAGATTTTAAGGGCATTTCTATCTTTCCTTCAAGAAACTTGGTTAGATTATGCAACAAACAGGTTAATGATTCTTAAATTCCATACACTTGGTAATTACCCAACTTATGGGACTATTAAATTTTTTCTCTCCAAACTTTGATACATCTTGAATTACAGACATTATTTTATTATAGTTATAATACTACAGAAAACAAAATAAAACTAACTATAGCATGCACAGGTAAAACATCTCAAATTTCAACAAAAATTTAATGACAGTTGTAAACTGAACTACTCACAGTGCTTTCCCCATATTCAATTTTCACTGAATCTTTGTCTGCATTTTTGGCAAGAATTGTGACAACGACATGGGTTTCTGTCTGGTACCAGTCTTGTTTAATTTTCTGTGATACAGATGGAGTAGCAGAACCTTGTGAGGGTTCTCCTTGCTCTCCTGAACTTTTATTATCAGCCATGTTCTTGAAAAGCAAATTAATGAAATATGAATTGCAATAAAATGTCTTTAGGGGCTCAAAATAAAATTGGCAAATATGAGTTTATATATTAAATATAGCTGTCCACTTCAAAACAATAAAAATTGGTTGGGCATTAGTCACCAATCAGGGTTATGTTACGTCAGAAAAATATCGTACGACATAATAGCAACGTTGCGATAAAAATGAATAAACAACACCAACATTACTTACGGTGCTGTCAGTTCCGCAGATTGCACTTCCACAGTTCACAATAGAATTTTCTGGAACGAAAATAAGTACAAACGCTTGGCACCCGCACAACTATTGTACAGACCGATACAGAATGACAACCAATCCAGGCCCAGAACCGCCCAGAACGAGCCACTGCACGGCGCACGCTCACTCTCTCCCCACTATTCCTGCTTTCATGATCCGATTGGTCTTGCGGCCTGCGACCAGGTGACAGCTCCTCTACAAAAATTTCATGAAAATCATTGGAAGAATCATGATGAAAATTGTAAAGATCATGGAAATATGGTGTCGCGCTGCGCATGCCGCTTTCTCTGGACCAATAAGATTATATCCAAACTGCGCCAAATTCAAATTATCTACACACCAATTTAATTTAGTCAAGACCTTACAAATTATTGGTGATATTACTATGGCGATATTTCCACCATGGTAAGGAAGACATTAATATTTCATGGTGGGAATACATGGGGCACGTGTAAAAAGCGTTGACAGCCAATCGGCCTACCAGAACTTAAGAGACATCACCGGGTCAATGGGACAATCCTTTAAGTCTTTTTTGACCAATGACCAAACTCATGACCATGACAATTGACCAAACTCATGTTCAAGAGGACTGGAATAATAGTTCCCGTTTCTAGTCTTCTTGCTCATGTGTCAAGTCAACGTCATCTACACTTACACACTCTAAAGAGTTGATGGTAAAGTACGTCTATGCGCTTCGTTATTGGCGTAAAACAGTCAAGATATATAATTTATTACGTAATGTTGCTGAAGTACAGGTATACCTATTAGCTTCCGTCGTTTTTCGTACATATCCCACATGTCTGCAACACCGTAGTTGATCTCCTTATAGTCTTCATGAAAACTGCATGTGTAATAAAGTTATAATACTTTTAATACTGTTATGCCCCGGCGAGTTTTGTTGTTTTAATTTTATTTTTCTGTGACCTTGTAACGAGAAAATTATCGAATGAAGACTTTTATTTCTCATTTATTTCTTTTCTTATGTTTCAAGCGAATATTCTGAGCATGCATCCTTTTGAAGAAAAGTCACATAACAAAATAGCAAATAAGGAATATCTTCCTTCTTCAGTTCACGTTAAGTTGTATACATTTCAGGCCATTTGTGACATGCGCATTTTTTTTGCAAGTGTATTTTTCAAACACTATTCATCACTAGACATATACTACACATGAATTTAAATGGTGAAGCCTAAAAGTATTTATTTCAATTATTTTGCCGGCTCAAAAACTAAAAAAACTATTATTGCTTTCCATCAATTTAATCTATGCATTCCCATACACCATTTTCATGCTGAAACCATCCGTTTCTGAACTGTATACTACTTCTCCGATCTGGATTTTTCGATCCCATGTGGGAACAGTAGTGGGATAATTTTTTGAATATGTAATTTAAATTATGCGATAAAAATATCTTAGCATGGTGAGAACTAATTGTTCGATTTATATATCCTATGTATGATGGTGTTTCGGGAGCGAGTGACGAATAATTTTGAAGAAAGGATGGCTCCATATGTAGTGCTATTTTGCACGATTCAAACACAATTTGACAATATTCTACAGGTGCAGTGGTCTGAAATCAATTATTGTCTTTGAATTTAGATGAAGGAATTAATTATTAAAAGTTTTATATGGCTTTGGCTGTATATACTACTTATGCTACAATATTTAAAATATTGGATCTACATTATCTGGTACAACAGACCAAACCAATGTATTGAGATTAAGAACGCAAACCATCAGTCATAATTGCCCCTGCGAGAAATAATTGTAAACACTTTTTGAAATTAATTTCCCCTCAGTAAAACACTTCACCCGGCATGGTATCCACAGGACCTTACTGGAACACACACTCGGATGTGAGCTGGCACGACATGTCAAGATATCATCAACTCCAGTCCCACACAGTCTTCGGACAAAATCCCATTTCTTCCACCTTCCTTAATTTCTCCACCCTCCACCCATATACAGAACTCTCTCACCTCCTCCTCTGAACCTCCTCCCGATCCCCCCCTTCCCAGTACAAATTCCTTTCCACCTAATGGTCCAATATTCTTACTACCTGTCATTGATGGAACACGATATTTCGGGGTAAAACGTGAATAAATATTTTGCAACTACAGTCAGATGCAGCAAAAAATATCCACGTATATACTCGCAAAATATTCACATACTGCACCATAACATTCAATCGCTTTCAATAAAACTGAGATTATCAAGGCTGCTCTCCAGAGCGATTTAAATTAAGTAGATATTCTTTGCTTTACATAGGTAACGCTTCAAAAGTCAGTAATCGCTCTTTTGAATCCGTTGTTGTAGGGGATTTTAAAACTGATTTTCTGGAGAAAAGGAGCAGTTTCTCAATTTATTTATTTTTTATTTCCAAAAGACAAAGGGTACAAACTCAAATCAGGGCTAATACAAAGGTCTGGCGAACAATTTGATTCAGATTAACAATATTTTTAGTAAGATAGGCGAAAACATTCTTGTGCAAGTTTAAACGAAAGCACGTATCTTAGCACAGACGTTGAATTGTAGACCAACTAGGTTGTTAAGTTAATATCAGCTAACAGCTTCACGTACTGTAAGGCATTCATTATTATTATATTATTATTTATATATTAACTTAAATTATTATTATTATTATTCTTGTTGTTGTTTGTTCGTTGTTGTCTGTTGTTAGTTTTGTTTCGCATCATAACAATAAAAAGACTTGTGATGCTGGAGAAGTCTTATATTGAGAGTTACACTTTACTTACTTCCAGCGACTCAAATATACTTATATATCGCATCTAACTATATACGTATACTATATACTCTATATATATTCATACGAAACACCTACTCCACCTATCACTCCCACACAACGTTACCACCCTTCCACAGATAGCTAGCAGACCGTAAAGCGGTTTCAAGATTTTGCTCCGGAAGCAGAGCTTACATCCTAGGGAGCAGGATACTCAGGGTGCGGAGCAAGCGTTTTGAACCCTTTGAACACAATAATCCACACAGCATTGCACATACAAACGAGACGTATACATTTACCATAACCTTTGTAGTCCGCATACCTTCATGACAGAAACCCCAGAATACTAGAATCCAACACTTTCAAAGAAGTAATACAAAACACATGTAGCAAACTGCTCTTACACGAACACACCACCTCATATGAAAGAACACATAATTACTTGAAGGATTGATACTCGCTCGAATACTTACCCTAAACTACTCTGGAATTCCCTTCGGAAAGATTAATCTATATCTAAATTTGTGCCCTCATTTACTCATTCACATCTGCACGTGACAATCAAAAATTCAATTTACAATCTCTCGTTTCAAGATATTACATGATAAGAACAAATGTGTGCAAGTCAGCCACTACTCCTAATTTAACAATTTAACTGCGTCCTGAAAATAGCGGAAATCAATAAATGTCCCTAAGTTGATGTTTTACGGCAGCGCAATCACCGCGGCATCGCAAAACGTCTTCTACCCTATAATACTGCTAATTCTGTTGCATCCCGTGTCCAAATTCTTACCACTTTCCCTTTACAAGCTTTTCCCTGCCGACGTGAATTTGACCTATTTCTGCGGTTCCAACTTGTTTACCCCCCTCCCCACTCACACTCACACTAACCCCCCCCCCCACCCCACCCCTCCCCCCCGTCCCTTCGTTGGACTCTCTTCACGTTGGCCTTGAAGCGGCCGTCCGCGCTGGTCGCTCCTGCGAATGCACGCCCCGGCTCCGGTCCCAACCGTCTAGCGCTTGTACAGACGAGAACGGGATTGCGCCCTCCTGACCTAGGTTGCGTGCCTGCTTGCCGTCCTCTTCCGTTCTTACGTTTTCGATCCGTCTTCTTCCTCAGTGGCCAAGTCCCTCGCCTCCTCTTCTTCCTCCTCGGCTACGGCACGCTCTGACTATACGCCCACGTTGCGGCAACATGTCCCTGCAATTCTCACTGAATACCCGTAGCAAGTTCCTCGCTCATTGCTACTCAATGTACTCTATTTACAGCCAGAACTTCTTTAATGTTCTCAATTCACAGCGGGTTAATTTATCTTCCCGTGCTTGTATTGAAGAACATCTACTTATCTGCACTATCCCTCCCGCGGACGACTTAACTAGAAACGTCTGTTCGACGCCGACATACTCCTACATCATGGTAGTCCGTTGCACCGCGGCACAACCTTAATATCTTAATTTTGTTTACACGAAATATGTCTTGACTCGCTCCGAGGCTGATCAAAGAGCCAGCTGCTTACTCGGCGCGTGGTTGCAAGACAAGAGAGCTTCCGCTTGCGGTTCGCGTATTTACCTGGCGCGGCGTCTGGGGATATCTCCGTCGATGGGCCGGAGGGGTCCGCCTATCCCTCTCCTTCAACCTTCACAAAGAAACCCTGCTTGCTAGTCTCGCCTTCGTTAGTACGGGCCATATCGGATAGCCACGGCCGCACCCGTCTATAAGTACCTCGCCCTTACAACGTCTGTTATCCTCGCTGTCCGCTCCTAGGTGCTTCATCTACTAGACGGTGGTGTTATCGGGGCTTGCACAATCCATAACGCCACAAATATATATGTAATATATATATATCCATAATATCCACTATATACCTATATTACCTATACTATATATATATATATTGAACGAAGCCGACGTTCCTCTGCATAGTAACAATAAAAATTGATTCTAATTAAAAAGAGCACTCAATCGATCAGCCGTAAGTAACGACCGCCGCTGCCGAAAACGGTCAAATCGGGGGGTAGACGGGCGAGGCGGTGACGGTTGAGGAAGTCATAGCCAGAGATGCCCGCGAGCGCAACACGGACGGTGTCTGCTGCAATCCCCAAGCAACGTTTAAGAGGTGATAAAATTTGATAATCAGCCGTGATTAGGAGCAATGAAGTGGCGCCCACCAGGACCGGGATCAAGCTGAACAACATATCCTCGGACGTTTGAGTGGCGCACGACAACGCTCTCCATGTCACGCCCGGGTGTGCATCGCACGCAGAGCCGGCAGCCGCAGCCTGTGCGAACAATTCGAGTGGGATTAGAGAAGACATATGCTGTTTGGCACACCTGCGACGAGGACGCAATTGCCGCGTGGTGCCTGTTAGTATTATATAGACATGACATTGCTGTGCTGACTGGGGGGCGGGTGGAACCGCCTCGGCGGCCTCTGTTGGCCCATTGCGTTGGGCGGGCTAGCGGAGTCGACCCGCCAGGGAGAGCGATTTCCCCGACAAACCTTCGCGGGCGGCCGAAGTTTTGCCGCACACGCGACCTACACACCGCACCCGGCCGCCGCTGCCACGCGTCGCGCCCCGCTCGCCATCCAGCCAGCCCGGTTGGGTCATCCGTAAGCCTCAAGGTAGCGTTTATGGGTTATGAATCTTACTAACTAAAGGCCTTGGCACTGCAGTAATCTCGTAAAGAATGTTAGTACATAATGTCTCTCATCATTAAACTTAAATTGCGCAACAAGAGTTTCTTCGATCCATCATCTTCCAATGCAGCGCTCAACCCCATGGAGCCCATTCACGCGAGAAGTATCCGTCCTTTACTTACTCATCTCTTATTTGTCGTGAACGAGTACCACTTTCCTGCAGGTACGCTGCACAATATCATCCACTACTCACATACTCTACTATATATACTATCATATATATATAGCACTATATACCCCTGTGACGCTACTGGGAAGCGGTACTTTCACGACAATAAAATGATGCAAGGGACAGGTGCTTTTTCTTGAATGGGTCTCTGGGAATTTGGCCCAACATCGGAATAGAATTCTTATAAATTCTTTTATACATCTAAACGTTTTAATAACTAAAAAAAGTAC